TATATATATATATATACATGCTTGCACTTCAAAAGACAAAAAGAAAAAGAGGGGAACGGGAGAGCAAAGATATAATATATGCGTGTGTGTGTAGGGGGGAATATGTTTGACCGCTTCCTCCTCCTCCTCCCCGAGAACTTTTTTGCCTTATTGTCGCTAGCGGATCTAACTCGCTCTTTTCCTCCAATTTATTTTTCTCTCTTCTTTTTTTTTCCTTTTCTCTTTATTGCTGTGTGTGAGACCGACGTAGTGCACACGAGGTAGCGCAGACAGGCGTGGAAAGAAGGTAAAGTATATATATATATATATATTTATACACGTACACGTATACGGGAGCAAAGGAGGCGGAGAGGAGGCACCCACGGCGAGGCACAAAAAAGGAAAGAAAGCGTAATAGGGAGTGGAAGTGGGGTTGAGGTCGGTGTACAGCAGCAAGATATCCCAACAGCGGTGATGGATGTTCCCGAGATTTTCTGCGCCGAAACTAACACGAAGAAGTGGTATGAAGTTCTAAAGGAAGAGGTGCTGGAGTTGCGCTGGAGGGTTCTCGTTGTGGCATGCTTTCTCACCTTTGGCAGTTACTACATCTTTGACTTCCCGGGCTCCATGGGCATCGGTGAAGGAGCAACTATTGAACAGCGTTTCAAGGCCCACGGTAAGGCTTACACACAGGATATGAATCAACTGCTGTATAGCGTGTACTCGTGGCCCAACACAGTGCTGGCTATATTTGGGGGCGTCTTGATAGACAAAGTTCTTGGTATCCGCATGGCGATGCTTCTCTTTACTCTTTTAATATTAGCAGGGGCTGTGCTTTTTTGGGTGGGCGTATATTATGTTACATTCCCACTTATGGTGACGGCGCGTGTCTTATTTGGGTTGGGGGGCGAGTCTCTTTCGGTGGCACAGTCAGGCTACGTCGCACGGTGGTTCAAGCACGGGCGTGGCATGGCGCTGGCATTTGGTATCACAATAAGTTTTTCGCGCGTCGGATCATCGTTTAACTTTCTCTTCTCACCCATGATTGCCGAGGCCCGGAGTGTTGAAGTAGCCGCGTTGGTTGGCATTCTTTCTTGCATTGTCTCTTTTTGCGCTTGCTTTATTTTGATTTTTGCTGACATCTACGCCGTGCGTATTGGGTACATCCGGCCGGAGCCACGTGAAGCGGGGAATGGTGTCATGAAGCTCAGCGATGCAGTGCGGCTACCATTTGCGTTCTGGATCCTCACCACCATTTGTGTCTTCTGCTATTCCGCAATTTTTCCTTTCATCGGCATCGGCGTAAACTTTTTCGAGGTGAAGTACGGCTACAGCACCCGAAAGGCTTCTAACTACATCTCAGCGTACCAATTGGCCTCGGCTGCAGGATCGCCGTTGGTCGGATTTATTGTGGATAATGTGGGGCGTAACACCCTCTGGCTCATTGCGGCTAGTACCTCTTTTTTGCTAATTCACCTGCTGCTCTTCACGACCATGATTCCTGGCATTGTAATGGTGATCGCTATGGGAGTTTCCTATAGCGTGCTTGTTTCTGGGCTCTGGCCCTCGATTCCGTGGGTGGTGAGCGAAAATATTACTGGACTGTCCTATGGCATCATGACGGCGGTGCAGAATATCGGCTTGGCCATCTTCCCCATCATCGTGGGGGACATCCTCGACAGATACGTACCAAATACCAACGACCAGAACGGTGCGACAAGTTCTTCATCTTTGCAAGTGAGTACAGAAGATTCTCCGCACCTTCCCACGCTACGGGGATATCAGCTGGCTGAGGCGGTCTTTATTGCTGCGTCCGCCGTATCGCTGCTTGCCAGCGTCATGCTTCTCGTCTCAGACATGCGCCATGGTGGCATCCTCACTGCTTCAAATGCTCGCAGGAAGGAAATGGTGGAGGAGAGGCGCAACTCCTTCCTGGAGTCTCTTCCGGATGATGAACGGGCCTTTTTGTCTATTAGGCACGATATTTAGGCGCTTCCAGTTTGTTGTTGTTGTTGTTGTTGTTGTTTTCGTGGCCGCGTGCCGTGGCGGGTAACGCATCCCAGCGAGGACCTACCGCAGGAGGGAGTGTGGAAAAGAGAAACGGCACGTACACGAGGAGGAGGAGGAGGAGGCAACACAGCCATTCCCATTTCCGCCTCTTCCCCAACTCCTTCCTACACCCAAACGAGCACGAAAAGCAAAATAAAAAATAACCACAACGAAAGCAATGATATCAGGGATGGATGCAGGGTATTAATAAACAGAGCCAAGGCACTTTGGCTTACGTGATCCATCAATCTGCCAGCCCCCCAAAATAGGGGATCCCGTCCCTGCCCACCCGCGCATTTATTTATTTATTTCTATTGTGTGTGCTCATTACCTTTTTTGTTTGTTCGTTTTTTTTTTCAACGAAATGTATCGAACCACGCTTGAGGGGCGGAGGACCTCTCCTTCTTTCTATGTCTTCTACTTTCTTTCGCCTCCCCTCTTCTATTTGCTTTTCACTCGACCTTTATTTGGGACCAACCGGATTCTCTATAATCCCCCACACTTGTTTGTACACATTTTTTTTTCTTTGATCCTTTCTCCACACTCTTGTGTTTGGTTTTTGCTTTTTTGTGTAGCTCACAAGGGTGCACTGCAATGCCTAGTCGTGCAGTTCTTCGGAAAAAAAACCGACGTGAGTCGAAGCGGCGTCGGCTCGAGGTTGAGGGGGCGGCTGTTGCCTTTTCGTTGCCCAGGAGTGAAGTATTGCAGGCCCATGCGCCTCAGCAGGTGGAAGACACGGGAGTAATGGAGAAGAGAGCAGCGGCGGTGAACAGGAAACGTCCCCGCGAAACTGCGGTTGTAGTGGCGCCTGCAGAGGCGGTGGAGTCCACGGAGGGGATGACCCGCAAGGAGCGGAAACGGTTTGAGTCAAAACAGCGCTTCGAACGGCAGCTCGCTAGGGTCAACGCGGCTGTGGCGAAGGAGGAGGGCACCACCTCAACTACGGCTGCCGCGACGGCGCAGGTTGTCGGAGCGGAGGCCAATAGTTTGTCCCCTACGCAGGGCGAAAAGCTACGACACGATCCAAAGTTTAAAAATGGCACCTTTTGGCGTACGCGAAAAGAGCGACGGGGAAGGACGGTCTTTCTTGGCAACATGCCTGCAAGGTTTACTGCACAGGATGTCACTGACTTTGTGAGCTCCATTCTTGACGCGTATTATGTGCGGAGCGAGGAAGGCGTGAATGGGACGAAAACGGAAGGTGATGAGGGCAGTGGAGGCGTTGACCTTGTGGATTCGGTGGATTTTCTTCCAACTAAGCCGCGGGCGAAGCACCGCCACATGTTCGTTACGCTCCAGTCGAAGGAGGTTGCGGACCGTGTTGTTAGGCTTCTGGATGCGTACACGTTGGAGGGTGCAGCCGTGCGATGTAACTTTGCCTCTGACAAGACGCAGCGAGGCGAAGCCATCCGTTGCCGAACGGCTGCCTCTCTTCATTCTTAATTTTCACTCAACGATGATGGGGGGGGGGACCGAGGTCATTAACTAAAATTGTGTAAGTATACATATGCATTCTCCTGTTCGATTCAACAAGCTGTAATTTTACTTCCTTTATGCAGTGTGGGCGTGTGTGATGGTTGCTTCGGGGAAGGTGGGTGGGGGACTGATTGCCGTGGCGGCGGGTGTACCTTGAACTTCTCTGCGGAATTCATTACATTGTTTTGTTTATATTTATTTATTTAAAACTCTTAGTTTCATTGGTGGATTGGTCGGAGTGTTCTCTCACATCGGCCCCTTCTCTGTAGAAAGGATTCAAGTGCGTAGAACTGGGTGAACACGTCACTGCTTTTGTGCCGCACCCCATCCTTGCTGCAAGGAACCCTCTTTATTGCTTTTTTTTTTACTTTTGAGGAAGCGGACGAGGGCGCCTCGCACGGACCTTTTGGTGGCGCAGCCATCACCACGAGAGGAACGGCGTTTATCGGCAGAACGACGGGGAAACTAGGGGTGGAAGTCGCAGGCGGAAGATGGACGATTATGACTTTACTGTCTGCATGGATTCCCCGGTGTTTTTGGAATTGGAACAAGAAGTGGATATGGACTCGGCGGATTCTTCACGCTCGTCGGCGTCCCTGTTGCTTGCCAAGCCAGCCAAAGCGAAGAAGTTTTTCCCGCCCGCCCAGGATGAGATGAAGGTGGAGCTCGAGGAGGAAATTCAACACGCGGCCGAGAGTGGCGAGTGCAACCTCTCGCAGATGTTGCTGCCTCAGGTTCCCGCTAGTTTGCCCCTCGAGACTTTGGTGACTCTCGTCCTCTCCGGCAACCAGCTTACCGAGCTGCCTGAGAGCCTCTTCGAGGGCCGCTGCTGCCGCCACCTTGTCAAGTTCGACGCAAACTCCAACCAGCTGAAAGCAGTCCCTCAGTCACTACTCGTCTTGCCCAAGCTTGAGGTGCTGCTTTTGGACCACAACAACATCACCGCCATACCTTTTGACGGGCTGGACCTTAATCAGCAGCCACTGCTACCCGCCCTTAACTTTGTGGGTTTGGAGTTCAATGAATTACAGGCATTCCCTGTGGAGTTCTTTATACACTGCCCGCTTTTGAGTAAAATATTTATTGGCCAGAATGAGAAAATGCTGGAGGCCCCAGTGCCCACTGGTCAACTACTTCGCTCCACCGTTGCGCAGCGCCACGGTAGTAACAATAATCATAATGGTGAGAATCGTGTCATTTTAAAGGTGGACAACAGGCCATGCTTTGTGAAACAAGTGTTGGACGAACGTTGGGACACTACAATGCCTTGGTTAGAGGTTCAATTCCACAAAATTTACCCTGACAGGGTGCTGGGATTTATGTATCTTGGTTCGCTCCGCACTGCACAGACCCGAACCGTCTATCGTGATCTCAACATTGATTACATACTCAGTATTGCGCGAGGCATGGAAGTTAGGGTGGATCCAGGCATGAAACACCTTGTGTTACCGGTGGAAGACATTCCTGGTGAGGATATCCAGCAACTCTTTGAGCAGGCCTTCACCTTCATTGACGAGGCTAGGGAGAAAAATAAAGGTGTCCTCCTCCACTGTTTTGCGGGACTTTCTCGCTCTGTGACTGTCGCGGCTGCATATTTGATGAGTCGGTGCAACATGACGCGCGATGAGGCCCTCGACTTTATCAGGAAGGCACGGCCAGCTGCTCAACCAAATCCGGGATTTATGGGGGCGTTGTGGAAATTTGAAAAGTTGCTTGAGGAGCGGAGAGGAGAAGGATCTGTTGGTCAGGGGTGAGTGAAACCGACGACGCATCACACAGTGAGCTGGTGAGGGGGAGGCTGAGAGTTAAAAAAGAGGGGAGCTCAGCCCCTCCTCAAGGAAAAAAAAAAAAAAGAAAAAAGACAAGACAATACACGAACTATGAGGGTGTTCAAAAAAAAAAAAAGACCTTGAAGCTGATACATGGAACCAGCAGTGCTTTTTTTTTCTCTCTCTTTCTTTCTTTCTTTCTGTGTGGGTGTGTGTGTTTTAGCTTGACTTGTTTTTTTTTCTTGTTTTTACTCACTGGGCCTTTTCTATTTATTTTATTATGAACCCTGTTTTACTGATGGACATTCCTTTTTTTCCCCCCCTTTTGTTTTTTTGTGTTTGCCTTTGCTCTAAAGCCATGTAGTTTTTATTGCTTTTGTTTGTGTTTCGACTTTCCTCACCTCCGCCCCCTCGTTCTGTGCACATTTACTTTTTCTGCCTGGCGCCCGACGCCTCTCCCAACACCCTGGGCTGCACCGTTGCCTGCAACGACTTTGCCTTCAATGCCAGTCCCAGTGGCCACTTTGCCTTTATCTCTCTTTTTCTCATGCTTCTCTGTCTGTTGCGGTTGGTACGCTGCCGCAGTTGTTGGTGGTGGGCAGCGGTAACATCATGGCGGCAGGCTTGTTTCGCGAGGCAGTGGTTTCCGTCGGAGTGTGGTCGGCGGGCGATTTCTTTGCGCAGTTCTACGGCGCCCACAAACATGCTTTGCGACGGCGCCTTGAGGGGAGTGAGCCGATAAGTTCTGAGGGACGCTCCATGGCTGGTATGATGGCCATGCTGGACCAGCCCCGCCTGGGTCTCTCCGCGGCGTTCGGTCTCTTGATATCTCCTCTTGTGGTGCAGCATCGCATGTTGTGCACCCGGGTTTTGGGCAAGACGGAGAAACGCATGCTTGAGTCATTTCTGGCGCTGGCCGCCCAACAACTGTTTATGACCCCACTGATGTTGCTGCTTTACCACAACGCCATGACGGCCTACCGTAAGGGGTTCACCGACCCAAGCTTCCTCCGCGCATATGAAACAGGTGCAGACACAAGGGGCCGATACAACGCCATGTCAGTGGAACGACGCATCGTGTTAGATGTGCTGCCATCGACGCTTGTCGCCTCGTGGCTTGTTTACATGCCGCTAGCTCTGCTTGGATATGTATCGGCGAAGCACGCACGTGGGATGTGCGCTGCTGTCTGTCTTATCCCTTGGACTGCATGCGTATCCCATGTGCAGTCGACGCTACTGCTGTGATATCGGCAACAAACACGCAAATGAATGAACGAATGTACAAGGAAGCGAACAACTCTTCCCACGAAAATGAAACAATATGACTGTTTTTTTTTCTTTCTTGTACATGTATTATTATTATTTTTCTTTTTTTCTAGCGGATGCCGGAGAGACCCGCAGGGACCTACCAGTTTTTGTCTGAAGTTTCGCACAGAAACAAAACAAAAAAAAAGAATAAAAAATGGTGTTTGCCGAGTGAAAACATATGAAGATGGGAATTGGGTGGCTATGAGGAGGTTGCTGTTGCGGTGTGTGCATCTCCATCTCTTTGACTGTCATATGTGAGTGCTTTTTTTTTGCCTTTGTTGCCTCCTGTTGGGGTGGTTGGCGGCTGCTGCTTGGACGCCATTCTCCCTTCCCAACTTTTTGTTGCCGCATCCATGTGCTGGAAAACCCTGCCCCTGTGAAGACGCATTATCGTTGAGACACGCACAAACGTGAAGGTAAAGAGCAAAAAAAAAAAGGAGTGATGCCCTGCCGCGAGAGGGCGTCTTCTCCATTGTTTACGGGAGGCTTTGATGCCGCTGCCGCTGCTTGCGGAGGAGATGGTGACGGTGGCGGCCCTGTGCTTGGGGATTACTACCGAGCCCTTGAGTTGGGCGGGGATGAAAGCTCGATCCTTGACGATGAGATTTTAATGATGACGGACGCGGAGAAGGAGGCCTTTGCGGAGATGCAGAGTAGATTAGAGGAGGCGTGCCTGTCGCAGTTCTACCACCACCGCTGCACCTCCCCATGCGAGGACGGGGCAGCAACGGAGGGCGTACAGGATGGCGACGTAGATAGCCTCACCGACGCTGACGGGCCCCAACGTGGAGCTGGCAGTGCAAGAAGGATTAGAGTAGACAGACACCAAACTGTGCCGAGTGTCCCTCGCACTCCTCGCGGTAGCCGGCCAACTCCGACGGGTGGCCGTAGCCTGCTGGTGTACCCCAGCGCCCGGCGCTCCAGGGAGCGGGATACGTGGTACAGGGCCGAACAGGAGGAGGAGTTAACGTTCCACCCGCAGATCAACGCGACAGACGTGGCGCCTCGCTACATGCAGGCCGCGACGCGGCGATCACGTGAGGTTAACGTGGAAAATGGTGCTGCTGAGGCATCTAATTTTAGGCCCGTAACAAGTCGGTTGCGTAGCTCGTCCATGTCAGAACATCTCAGCCGCTACCTTTACACGCCAGTCCACGTGCGACTGAGCCGAGCGGCGTCCGCGTCATCACGGCGAAAGGAGCAGCAGCGACACCACCATCAACAAATAGTGGAGAAGCCGCGTGAGTACCGTAGGGAGCAAAAGAGCGGAAACGAACGTCAAGTACCTGATGCGTTTCTGCAACGCCTGGAGGAAACGAGTCGCCGCCGGGAAGAAAACCTTCAACGAATTGCCTTAATGCATAACACGGAGCTCACGTTCCGCCCAAAGCTGGCGCCTGGGACACGCAGGAGAAGCATTGCATCGGCCATGGCACCTCAAATTCGTGGAGAGGTGACACGAAGCGAAACGCTCGCACAGCATGTGATTGACGGATCTGGAGATGGCGTGAAGGGAGGTCGTGCTCACACCGCATCACTGCACCCGTCGCCGCGCATCAACAACCGGTCGCGGAATATGAAGCGGAGTTTGAAGGACCTTTACTTGTTTGAACTGCGAAGGCAGCTGCGTTTGGCGCAGCTGCGTGCTGAACGTGAGGCGACAGAGGGCGACACAGTCTCTGACAGGCCGGCTGTCAGCGCCGGCTCACGTAGACTCGCTGATATTCTTTTTGGCGAAGACGTCACGCATGAGACCATTCAACGGTATCTGCATCGACATGCTTGCAAGCGTGCGGCTGCACTTCAGATGGAATATGAGGCGAGGAGCCGAGAGGAGGAGAAGCAACTCACATTCCATCCCGAGGTGCATCCAGCGCCATCGTATGTGCACGACATTGCGCAAGAGCTTGCGTTGAATAAAACATTTGCTGTGAAACCGTCTCCGCCGAAGCCAATCTTCCGGTTTTCATAGTTTTGTGTACTCTTATCTTTCTGCAAAAGGTAGAACCCTTTCTCCCTTTTTCTTGACCTCTCTTTCTTTTGACTTTCCTAAGTATCCTCGGAGAGCACATACAATGGCCTGCATACATGGAAGTAGACGTGCGCATGCATCTTTCCATGTTAGCTTGGACGTTTTGCTGCTGCCTCTAATTCTTCTTTAATGACTTTCTGATATATGTTCTTTTTATTCTTAGATGAGCGGCCTCAGAGTCAGCTTAATACCAATAGGAGTATTACTTAGGTGTACATCTAAGTTATATAAGCATTTCCGAGATTACATTTCCAAGAACTTTGTGCAGTCTCCGCAAGCCACTTTTTACTAAGCTGAAACAAATTACTTTTTTCTCCTTTGCCTGCATGCAGGACGTCTCGGCACCTACTGAGTCCTCATCAGACGAGGCGAATATGTGGTCCACCGCCAGTATCGAGCCCAAGTTTAGCGAGCTTCTAGGTGCGTTGGACGATGCTGCCTTTACGCATAACATTTCCACCTACGAGGGGTTTGGTTCTTTTCACTCTGGAAATGTCGAGGACATCATCGCCAGGAGGAGTGAAGCGTACCACCCCCCACGGCTGCCGCCCTTCGCGAAGAGAGTGCTGGGGCACAGTGAGCTCTGTCAGCTTGGGGCTGCGAAGGATGAGGAGGAAAAGATGGGGATTTGGAACCGGCCTGTTCAGCGGTGCGAATTTGGCCTTCCCTTTCGTCAGGAGCACTTTTCAGTCACACCTGAGTATGTCTTCATTAATCATGGCGCCTTTGGAGGGACGCTTCGCGGCGCCTTGGCGATCAAACACGGCTACGAGGAACTGATGGAACGGCAGGTGGTGGAGTACATGGATCGAGAACTGCTGCCGATTGTTGTGTACAGTGTGAGACGGCTGGCAGAGTTTTTGAACGCGAACCCGAAACAAATTGTGTTGCTTCAAAATGCAACTTTTGCGCTGAACTGTGCGATGCAGTTGATTGGAAAGGACGATGTTGTTGTGTTTTTCGACACCGAGTACCTTTCTGTGTACAAGATGATGTACTTCCGCTGCAAGCAGGTGGGCGCCACCCTGCATGAGGTTCCACTTACAAAGTATTTGCATGATACCTCCATTATGGGCGACGATGTGGCCCTCACAGAGGAAATATGTAGACAGTTACCAAACGGCTGTACAGCTGCTGTATTTGATTACGTTACATCCACCACCGCTCTTTGCATGCCGGTGTTTACACATCTTATCCCCGCACTGAGGCGTCGTGGGGTGACAACGATTATTGTGGATGGAGCGCACGCCCCGTTGCAGCTGCCTTTGAACTTTAATGAGCTAGCGGCGGAGTCGATGCCAAGTGTATTTGTTGGAAATCTTCACAAGTGGTTTTCCATTCCCAAGTCAGTCGGATTTATGTGGGTTCACAATTCACTTTTAGGCTCGTTTTACTCTGTTGTTCGTTCCCATGGTGCTGGTGATGGATTTCTCTCGGAGTTTATATGGGATGGCACACGCGACTACGGCGCATATCACTGTGTTCCAGCAGTTATTGACTTTTGGCGTATACAGGGGATTGAGCGTGTACAAAATTATTGTGCCCACTTGCTCCAATCAGCTGCAAAAATGCTTACATCCCACTTTGGCACGCGACCGGTGGCTCGGCATGCCCCTTTTATGTCTCTTGTGGAGCTGCCGGAGGCGTTGCAGGGTCCGTACTTGACGGCAAAGTACCTTCAGGACCTCCTGCATGACGTATATAGGCTGGAAGTCCCCATCAAGCGGGTGGAGGGACGCTTCTACGCACGCATCAGCGCCTTCGTCTATAATACTCCTGGCGAGTACGTGTACCTGCGTGAGGCGGTTTTGGGCATTGCCCGTAATTGTCTGATCTTGGAACAGCAGCGGCGCTTGCTTCCGCAAGAGGCTGGCAACCCCGTTGACTCCTTGCAGCTTCCGTACGACAAGCGGATCCGTGAACAGGGTGGGTGTGGCATGTCTGGGCTTGAGCCAGTGGTGAAGAAACGACGGGGCTCCCAGTTCTGAGGTTGCGTTGATTTCAGCGGCCATTGAGGAAAGGAGGTGGGAGCTTTGCGGGTGTGGGTGTGGGTGTCAACAAGGTTGGATAGAAAAGAAGTGGGGAGATGGTGGGGTAAGAGTGGCGTCCGGTGGTGCTTCTCACACCAGAAGTGAAAGAAAAGCTTGCGGGAAGAACACACACACAAACCAGGAAGGGCAAGAAAGCGACGAAAACAAGAGAAAAAAAGGGAGGGGGGTGAGTAGGCGGTGAGTTTTTGTGGTGGGGCATCCGCGGGAATTGAATGTGAGGAAGAAACAGGAGAACGAGGGGAGAGGGAGAGAACAGGATGATGTGTACTCTGTAGCGTACACGTTTTTTTTTTTTTTTGGGACTGCGCCAGGTGGCGTTGGTTGTTGATGGCTCGCGGCCACAGAGCAGTGTGCCGTGTCGCATCCTCGCTGCCGGAGGAGTTTTCTTCAGGCGTTTGAGACTGTTTATTTGCTTGTATTTATGTTTTGTTTTTTTCTACATAAATGCAGCGACATTTTCAGTGGTGTTGGTGGTGGTGGTTTGGTTTGTTGTTGGCTGTGAATGATGAGGCGGAAGCCTCCTTTTTTTTTGCTGTTGGTAACACGCGTTTGGAGCCTTTGCTGGCAGATTGATCGAGGCCCACTCACTCCCCTTTCGCATTCCAAGCCTGCCTGTCTGTGCCCGCATACGTGTGACATTTTTCCTTTCATCACATCTTCTTTTCTTCTCTTCTTCTCTTCTTCGCCTGCCGTGGGAAGGAGGCAGTGAAGTGAGGATACCCAAGAAGTAAAAAAGGGTGAAAAGAGGAAGACACAGTGAGAGAGAAACAAATACACACAAAAAAAAGGAAACGGGCAGGCAAGTAACGAGACATGCCACCAACGAAGGGGGGAAAGCGGCCTCTGCCAATGGGCGGGAAAGGTAAGGGTAAAAGACTCACAGGCACCACCCAGAAGACTTCAGGCAGTAAGAAGAAGGGAGGGGTGCGCCGCGGCAAGAAGCAACAGCGATGGGATCTGTACATTCATCGGACCCTGCGTCACGTGTACAAGCGTGGGACGCTCTCCAAGGCGGCCGTGCGGGTGCTCTCGTCCTTCATTGAAGATATGTACAGCAAGATTCAGAGCGAGGCTGTTCACGTGGCGTGCATCAATAATGTGAAGACATTAACTGCACGTGAAATTCAAACGTCTGCCCGTCTACTTTTGCCGCCTGAACTCGCCAAGCACGCAATGAGCGAAGGCACCAAGGCCGTTGCAAAATACAACGCGTCGCGCGAAGAGGCGTACGCAAAGGTCGTGTAGAGCCACACGGCAACCACTGCCTTTTTACAAGGCACTTTATAGATACACAACAGCGACGAGGGGAAGAAGTCAAGAGGCCCGCCCATGTTTTTTTTTAAACTATTGTTTTTTTTTTTGGTTCATTCCTATTTATCCTTTTTCCTTTCTGTCTCTGTGTTTGTGAGGAGAATGCAGTTCCCACACAGGCTCTGTCGAGGGAAGGAAAACTGAAAAGCCTTCTCATGTATGAACGTGTGTGCACACACAATCAAACTGGAGGGGAAAGTACGGAAGGGCGAGCAAACAAAAAGAACATCAATAGGTTGAAAAGGAGAACACGGAGGGGAAAGAACAAAAAAAAAATGTGAGGTGAGGCCCGTTCTGATCGAGAAGGGGTTGTTGCTGCTTTCACGTTCGACGGTAGAGAAACCGGTGTGCTGCATTGGCAGTACTCCCTTTTGCTGCTAACTCACCTTCCTCTCTCATGTTCACTGAGAGGAGGAAGAGGGGAGAGAGGGGCGTTTGTGAGTCGCCCCTGACAAGGGTTGCCCATCTATGCCCATTTATCTCTTTAATTGTTTTGCTATCTGTTTGTTTCTTTTCTAGCGATGTTTATAATCCCCACCTTTTTTTTTGTTTTTGCTTGTCCACGTTTTGCTTTGCGTCTTTGTTGGCTTATATCTAGTGGCTAGAGGGGGGGGGGGTACGCATGGAGGCAGTGGAAGTGTTTGTGGCACCACAAGAGGATAGGTATAACGACACGGCTGCGGCGCTGGGTTGCATCGCGCGGTGCAAATGTTGTGGTGTCACCTTCTTCTGGAGCCCGGATGCCGCCATGTGCTGCCTTCCAACCTTCACCACGCTAGCCATTGTCTTTGGCGTGGTGTTTACACTGTGGAATGATTTGGGCGCTTTTGAGCTGTGCATCTTGGTTGCATTCCTCTCCACCGCCTTCATTTCTGCATTCCTGGTCACCTGCACGGACCCGGGCGTGTATCCGCGGCTTCGTCGTGGTGAACCAGATCCTCTGCATGACGCTCAAGATTTGGTGCTTTGTCGTGTGTGTGGGGTGCGGCGTCCCCCACGTACCTCGCACTGCTACCAGTGCAACGTCTGCGTGGAGGAGCACGATCATCACTGCGTCGTGATCGGCGGATGCGTCGGTCGGAGGAGTCTTCGCTGGTTTGTGTTGTACCTTGTGACGGTGAGTAGTGCGACGGCCATGGGGATTTTTTGGGTCTGCCGCTCCTTGTTTATTGGCAGCTTTGCAGCGGCGCAACAGCGACGAGAAGCGATAAATAACACCTCGAATCGCGCCGGGCATTATTCACTCGTACATGACGCGGGAGACGAGAACCCCTTAGTTGTTGCCGTTTTGGTGCTTCTGTTCGTCACATTACTTCTCGTCCTGCTCCTTGTTGGGGGGCTTGCCATATTCCATGTTTTCATGTTGCTAACGTCGACCACGCGGCGTGAATCGCAGCGAATGCAGTTCAACATGGCCGCTTTATTGCGACCCAAATTGATGTGGGAGAACCTGATGCACGTGGCATGTCCGCCGCCGTCCAAGCTGTTGGTCCCCACACATCGTAATGATTTTATTACTTGACAGCGACCTCCCTCTTCTATTTGTAGCGGTAGCAGGTAGATGCATAACACTGCATACATAAATGTGTATGGAGACAGATACCACTGCTGGCACCTGAACTCAAGTGAATGTAACAGTGTGAAGAGGAATTGTTGCCACCCGCGCGGTTTCTCTACCCAATATGGCGTAGGCGCGGACAGGGTGGGCAATCTCCATGAGCTGTGGGAAGCAGGCGGCGGACCCGGCACCCTTGTTTCTTCCCCAAACTTCACCGCCATAAATATTACAAAGCGCAAGGCGTAGAGTAGGGCAATACCAACACGGACACTAAGCACCGCGGGAGGTACGGCGAGCGAGGGCCCCTCTCTCGAGGAAGAGAAGAAGTGCATTACTTGCCAATGCGCGTATCACTGAGAGTTTACGCTTTTGCTGCGCCAGACAGCTCGTCTTTTGTGTGTGTGTTGTCTTATCCACCATTCCATTTTTTTTTGTTTTACTTTTTCTTCTTCGTTCACCTTCTCATTCTCAGCATGTTCTCCGGGTGGCTGTGTAAACAAGATGGACAAGAAATGACCCTGTTTGGAGGAGGATAAAGTTTGAGTACGCTGCGGCGGAACATCTTTTTACTGTTGTTGTTATGGAGGCGACACACGCCGTCTTTCCCTCTGTGATCTGGATGCATGTTACCGATGTATTGGTTCGTTTCCCGATTGCGTGAATAGGTTCCCCTCACGTGTAAAATTGAGAGAAGGCGAATCACACACACAGCTATATGTAAACATATGCAGACAGGGACATGGAGAAAATCACTGCGTTAAAGTCAGCTGTCTTCATGAGAAAAAAGTGCGATGTGAGTACGCCATCCGGTGACAAGTGCCGCAGCAAGTTTGCTGGCGGAGCCTTCACCGTGGTGGCCAGCGACATGGATGGCACGATCCTTGATCCCAACTGCCGTCTCACTGAGCGGACAAAGGACACACTGTACGAGCTTTCCACATGTGGGGTCCATATAATCCTCGTGACAGATCAAATCCACCTTGCCGTTGAGGACACAAGACGTGACCTGCTACAGCACTACATGAAGAGGCACGAGGCCAGCGGTACTTGCAATTCACTGTCTGTTGGGTACGAGGGTATTTATGTTGTCTCCTCCGATGGCGCACGAGTGCAAAATCCAAAGGGAGAAATGATTCTCTCAAGGAATTTGGATGACGACATCGTCAGGGCCCTTTATGAGTGCTTTGGCCTTCGTGATCACGGCGACGACACCGTGCAGGCCGTGACTGTAATAGCGCACCAAACCGGAAGACTATGTTTGTATCATCCCTTCATGAGCGACGAGCAGATGCTGGCAAAGTTTGGTGTACTGCCGGAAGTGCACTCAGATCTTCTTGGGACGTTTCCCACCACCGCTGTCGCCAAAGTGAGTTTTTTATGCACGGACCAAGAGATATTGCGCCGCTACGAGAATGAAATCAGTGAATTGTTTCATGGACGTGCAGTGGCCGCGTTGGTGTCAGATACGTGCCTGGATGTCGTTGCAGCAGGGGTATCGAAGGCTACGGTGATCCGGGAAATTGGCAGGATCCTAAACTTTGATCCCGAACGGGACGTCATTGCCTTTGGTGACAGCATGACCGACATGGAAATGCTCGACTCCGTGGCGAAGGGGTGCATCATGAGCAACGGGCAGCGACGCTTGGGGGAGTCGTTGCCGCATATGGAGGTGGTGGGCTCCAACTCCGATGATGGCGTGGCCCGAAAGTTAATGGAGGTTTTTTTCACTTGTTTTCCGGCTGACGCCTCACCGCTGATGAGAGG